GACCAGTGTGTGTGTTTTTGTGGTGAATTTTGGTTTTAAACTGTGTCGATGACACTTTTGCTGGTTTCACTTCTACAGAACACACACTAACTTTCTTTAAACACATAAATTCTATTCATCCCAACATCAAATTTACCATAGAACATGAAAACAATAAACAGTTATCCTTTCTTAACCTCAAAATTATTAGATCGGACACACAGTTTAAAACCAAAATTCACAAAATCCTTCTCCTCTTACACTCAATACCTTGTTCCTCTTGGGGTATTTTCAATTCCTGTCTCAGTTGGGCCAACCCTTCTCCCCTTTGTCTTTGGAGCTTCTGGTTCAGACTGTTTCCTCCTCTCCTTTTCTTACTGCACCAGAAGTTCTATTTTGTGGATGTGGGCTTCTTAGGAGCTGCTCATTCCATTTGATCAAGCCCACATGTGACCTCTTCAGTGGACTTTACAAGCTCAGTAGAACCACATTTGGAATCTCTTGGACACTCCCATCTCCGTCTTTTCCTTCATGTGGACTTTGTCTGGGAGTTGAACAGAGACAATAGCACAGTGGGTGCTCCTCTTCCATAGATGCACCTCTTGATGGATGCTTTTCTTTTGGGTTGGGATGCATATCTGGACACAGGATATTTTGTGCCATTGATTTATTATGGAGTAATCTCTGCATTTCAATCTCTTGGAACTGCTCACTGTCTGTTGTGCTTTGGTTCACTTCCTTCCTTCTCCCTGGAACCAGTTGGTTTTGATCCATTCTGACAACTCAACAGCTGTCTCGTACATCATTAGGGAAGGGGCACTCGGTCGAGGATTCTTTGTTTCCACACATTGGACATCCTGTTGTTGTTGTTCCACAGCCATCACATTCTAATGTTGGTATATCATGTGTCATATACAGGGTGCTTTGAATCTGAATGCTGACTGGCTATTGCACCCTGACAAGATTCTCCCCATGGAGTGGTATCTTGACCTACAAGTGTTCAGCTGGCTGGGTACTCAGTGGGGTCATCAAAATCGGATGTATTCACCACCCACTTGAAGTCCAAGCTTCATCAGGAGTTGGTACCCAATTCAACATCCTTTGGCTGTAGCTGTCAATGCCTTCAGTCAGGATTGGGGAGGGGCATTACCTTTATGCCTATCTACTCATCCTTCTTCTTCCTCATGTCCTTCTTCTAAGTCATATAAGCCACTCCATGTCAGGTCCTCTTGGTGGCACCACTTTAGGTGGTGCTGTTGTGGTTTTCACTTTCATATATGATCCAACTAGTACTTCTTGTTCGTCTACCCCTCTCACCCACCACTGTTGGCCTTATCATCTCTCCCACACCTGACTTCCTTCCTTACCTGTTTTTCCGCACGATAACCACCAATCATGGATAGCCCTTGTCAGTCACTTTCTGTTTCTCAAGCTTTTGCCATGTCTTCACTTCTCCAGTTCACCCCCTACTGTTTCTGACCCTTGCATCCTGCCCTCTCCTCACGGTCATCATCCATGCCCTTATACTTCCTCTCTTCGAGCCAATGTCATCCTGTTATTTATATTGTCTCTCCTTACAGTCCTTTTTAACGGGTGTACATCGATTTTTGGGTTTGTTGACTCTTTACATCTCTTGCACAATATCTCACAGGACTTATGTCATTCTTTACTTGGATTGGTCTTTTTTGCACACAATGTTGGCTGCTTGTGAGGGCATTTTTACCATCACTCTCTTTTCTCACCTTTATCATTGTTCCGATCCAGATCCCCTCATAGGTCCTGTCCTGGCTCTCCGCTGCTATGTGGCTTGCACTGTTCTCCTTTATGGTTCCCATTTGTTAAATGGTATAATTCCCTTTCACGTGTTACCCTTATAGATTGGATTCACCAGCTTATTCACCTGGCTTATTCTTTACTGTCTCCTGATCATGGTCACCTACTTCAAGTCTCCCCCATCCAATTCACCCCATTCCCATGTTCTTGGCTGCCCAATTCTGTTGTCCATTAGAGTTTGTGCCAGTATATGGACCACTCCCCATGTATTTATTTCACATCTTCCTAATTGTGTGGCTGTTTCCTGCTCTGCAGGTTACCATCTACCTTACATTGGCATGTTGAACTCCATGATTTCTTTTGTTTTGAATTTCAATCAAAGCTACATGAGGGCTATCTGTGCTAGGTTTTTTTATGAGTAGGTAGGTGCTTTTCTTCTTCTTTAAAGGGACATTTCTTGTATATATGGATCTCACTCAGTGCCGAGCACTGCCTGATGAGGTATACTTATTCTTCAACCTGCATTAGGTCAATAAAGACCACTGTAGAGAACAGGTGTTCTGCAAGTTCACTTGTAGGTATTTCCTCGTGGTGTTTTGCATCATAAATATTTTTGACCCTGACTATACACTCATGGACTAATATGAGTAAAGCAGAAGAGGATTGCTGCTCCTTCATTTGACTGAATCAGGAAAGGTCTGTTTTTTGAAATAGGGTTTTGTGGTCACCCATTGCACTGTCTTCAGTGCTGTGTTCCTTTGGACTCTCCCACACATTATTTTTCCGCTTCTTCCAGTGGAGTACAGGAGTCCTTACCACCTACTAGCTTCTAGCCATTGGGGTGGTGGACCATGGAGGTTTCCTCCTGAATGTGCTCAATTTCACTCGGTTTTGAGTAGGATGGTGGTGTTCTGTCATTGTAGATGGTGTATAGACACTCCCCCTACTGCAGAACTGAATTACTATTTCAGATGCTGCCTGGTTATGGACTGGACAATTTCCACTAGCATGCAATTTAACCCCCCGCCTGGACACTCTCCTTCCTACTATTGCATTGATGTTGGTTCCCAGGGAATATTGGTGTTAGTTGGAGTTGGACCAGCCACATAAGTCCTCACATGTGAGTGGCCTAGGTATCCTCCTTCTACCATGGACTGGATGATTCATTCCCAGTGCTGCCTGTTCTGGACTGGAATCGAACTGCCACATAGCTGTCTGCCTTCCTACCATCATTCAGATGTTGGTTTCTAAGGAGTACTGGTGTTGGTTGTATTGGGCATGCACACATGATGATGATAGAATGGAAGATCTTCTTGCATTCCAGTTCCCGTGTGTTAGGTGGACAGTAGAGGATCCTCTTTTTTACCATGGGCTGGGTATTCCTATCACAGTTCTGTTGGTGTTGGTTAAGGTTGAACTCCCCCTTATGGTCTACCAAGCCCAATCCACTCTACACCAGTGGTCCTTCCTGTGTTTCTGCTCTTATTGTGGCACATAATTTTCATGGGTAAAGAGTATACCTAGCTCACAAGTGGTGCAGTCTCCAAT